CCAAGTAGCCCTTAGGAAAAAACAGCAGATAAAACCAAGAGACAGCATCTCCAGGAGCACTACTGAGAATAACAGAATTCCTCTTCTTCTCTTACAGGTAGGTGAGAGAGTTTCAATATAGTGAACCATCCTGGTCACTGTCAAGTTTCTTCAACCAAAAACCAAAGCTAGGTGGCTATTTTCCCTTAAAAGTTAGTGCTGTCAGGCAATAGCCATCAGCAAGTCAATGGTCCTTACACCACAGGTCTCTTCACATCTGCAACTCCTAGCAAATCATAATTGTTCATATTTGTAAGGTAAAAGCTTTAGATTTTCTCATATCCACCATGGCTCATAAAGGGACTGCACTTTTATAGAAAATATACAAGCAGTTGCTACAATTGTTCAGTGTTACTTTTTGAATTATAAATCTAGAAAGTACATAATACTCTCAGGAGAAAGTACTCATAGAATTTCCCGACAAGTTCTCATAGCATTTAAAACCACGGCAAAACACCTTTCAGCCAACCCCTGCCAGAGGATCACCATATTAAGGTATTTTTACATGCAAAAAAGGCTTCCAGCAGCCTTAAATCTTGTATGTCAAATTAGCAGAAACTATACTGAACAACTTCTTACTAGCAACAGAAATTAAGTTGAAGTACATGTAAATGAAGACAAGCCAGTTCAGACAAGTGTAAGAGTACTACTTCAGAAACATTTTCAAAAGCCTAGACACTATTCCCTGCCATGCAGATTTTTTGAGGAAGCACTCAGCACTGAAATAGTATCTATTATAAATTGCTATTTCAAGATATTTTAGAGGTAACTCCTGTTCCTGCTGTTAAATTTTTTATATTGTGTGGTTTATAATCTGTGAAACAGGAAGAGGGAAAGGAGCACTAATTCCCACAAACCAAACTTCTGTTTCTATTTACAGTAGCAAATAGGCAATTTAATAAAATTATCAGGATCAGAAACTACATAGTCCAACTACTTTCAGAAAATGCTTATTCTAATATACTCTGGGGAATGAATAATCATACCCTGAACTGTTTTAGTTATGAAGTCAAAATGACATTAAGAACTGCCCCTCACCATGTTTCAATATTGTACTTTTCTGGTGGAGTGCATGAAACAAGACAGCAATTTCACTTGTATTTTTTGCTGCAGAAAATGACCTAACTACTAGACAGAGCTAACACACCATCAAGGTTTCAGCTGGGTTAGTTAGTTTTCTTCTTAGTAGCTGGCTCTTCTCAGTGCCATGGTTTGGATTCAGTATGAGACTAGAGTTGATAACGGTTGGATGTTGGGGTAGCACTACTTAGCAACAACCAGAAGTCTCTGCAAGTCAGGAGGGGCTCAAGAAGCCATGAGGGAGCAAGGCTAGGACAGCTGACCTGAACTGGCCAAGAGGATATTTTATACTAGCATCTCATGCCCAGTACATAAACTGGGGGAAGCTGGCCAGGAGGCATGGATCCATCACCCAGGCTGGGTATGTTAGCAGGTGATCACCAATTGTATTGTATATCATCACTTGCTTATCTTGGGCTTTCTCTTTGTTGTCTTCCTTTATGGTACAATTGTTATATTTAATTTCAATTCTGTTCTCATTTCAACCTATTGCTTTTACCTTTCCTCATATTCTCCTCTCCATCCTATGAGGGCAGGTAGGATGTGGTACTTAGTTTCTGGCTGGGCTTAAACCTCGAGACACACAAGAGTTTAAGTCTCAAATGTTTTTCACAGGACCCTAGTATTTGCAATAGTCCTCCCTCTGAAAGAGACCAAGGTAAGCCTAGAGCAAATAATTTCCTATTTAGTCAAGGTGAGATGAAACCGAGATATAGCAATAGCTGTATGTTCTTCTTCAGTGATCTTAAGACTATTTAAAAATACCTTTACTTTCCAATCAACTTACCAATTTCAAAGGTCTAAGCATTTGCTTTATTACAGTCCATTCATCTTTTTCTTTCCACAAAAAAAGACTGAACTTCATTTTGGGACAGATATTAATCATTCTTCACCTGCCACAATAAAACTAGTACAATTGATGCTGGGAGAGTGCTCCTTCAGTTAGAGAGAATTCCAGTTTCAGGGAAAAAGATAGTGTTTATTGGGCTGGTGAGAAGCCTGAAGTATAGCTCAGGGGTAAGAGCACACATAAGTACTTCATGTTTTCCCACCCAACACAGCTCAGTTAAACAGCAAGGCTGTCCTTGCACAGGGGCCCTCAATGAATGTCACTTACTACTGTTTTCAGTAACATGAGAATTGAAAGTGACATCAGCTTCAGAAAGGGGGGAAAAACAAGCTTTTACTTCAGCCCCCTCCCAATCCTACCATCCCTACACTTATTAACATACCCACTACTTCATCGATTTTAGAGGCCACATATCATTCACGTTTGAAATCTTTTTAAATGGAGATAGGTCATAATTGCAAAGTAGTATTCAAACACAAATGAAAATCTCAGAAAATTCCCAAGAAAACTGCTGGAAATGCTCTGTATACTTCTCCTGTTTCTTATACTGGTCATCCTCAGACAGAATACTGAACGAGGCAGACTTTGTCCCACTCAATACAGCCATTCTTCTGAGCATCAAACACCACTTTGTCCTCCAGAGCCTGCAGGAAGTTTGAGACAATGGCAGAGAAGTACTGTCTTATAGCCCTGATAGCTCAACTGGACTATCAACTAAAAAGCCACATGATGTTTGAGAGGAAGTAGAATTCATCATTCTAATTGTACTTTTCCAGTTTATATCCTCTGAGGGAAATACAAGGGCAGACAAGCAAAAATGCTTGTAAAACCAGTTGTAACACCAAAAATAAAGAATGCACATCATCAGACACACATTTACATAGCATATAAAGCCTCTACGTGTACTCCACTCATCTGAAATAACTATTTTTCTGTTAAATTCATTCATACTCCAGAAGATAGCTCAAAGATTGTCCTCTGGGACAAAGGGAGGGAGTGTGAAGAAAAGCCACCAAAGTTAGGACTGAACACTCTTCAGTATAAAGAATACCTTTCTCTTTGGGCAAAGTCAAACACTTGCTGATTCTGCTGTGTCCATGTTTGAATGTCCTATGGAATGCTTTTCTTTATCAACTCATTTCTGGTTTTTAATTTTTATGGCAGAACACATACCCCAAACTTCATATGGCAAATTTATAGTTAAGAGCTTTCCTGCAGGAAAGATGGTAGCAACCCCAACACCAGCACACTATATAGCTGCAACCAGTCATGCTCTTCTGCAGGATGGCAGCCAGACAGCACAGCTTATTCTGAAATTCCTGTTCACTGGGATCTGATACTTCAAGCAGGTATCACACCAGCACTGGCAGTCACATAGCAGTGTAGGTGCTGTGGCAAGATAACCACTGCTAGCTTAGTTTCACTCACTTGCAACTCTTGATTATAGATCACAGCCTTCACCAGTAAGACAAGTTCTTCAGCAAAACAAAACCTCCCACCTTAATAAGGACCTCGTTACTTCAAACATAGCAAAGCATTTATGCAGAGCTACTTTTGAATCTGCCATGTGGTTGCAAGGAACTTCTCTTGCTTGTAAGCTCAACATTTATTTAATTACTAAGTCTCTGCTGGTTTTGCCCAGTTACTAAGCTGATAAATGGCAACATTCCAGAACAGTTTGTTTAACCACCGATTACTTGAACCACAGTCTAACAGCCATGTGACACTTCCAGTGCTCCACTAATGATAGTGGAGGACTTCACTGGACTAAAGCACAAAAGCAGCAAAATGCTTTCATGCTGTTTACTGCACAATCTTAAAAGAAAGCTTTGAATTTAACAATCTGTTTTGTAAACCTGAAGTTTCATGTAATGCTTTTGCAGAGAAATCTCATGCCACATGTTCCAAATGTGTCACAGTAACTCTCAAACACTGTATCTCCTTATCTCACTTGTATTAAACATCACTCCATAAAAATGTACCAGAACTAAATCCACAACTGGTTTGAAAACATATTAACCCTTTCCCACAAGGCAAAAAAAGCCATCTTTTCCATCTTAAAATTGATTATAAAATCATCTGGAACATGTCATGATTAAAATAGTAATTTTGTAACTGTAAACACTTGACAACCTACACTACTAATACATTTTTTAATTGGCTACCAATTTTCCATAGCTCTGAAGTACAGGATTGTTCTTTGAGAAAGTTCTACAGCTCAATATTCAATACACCTTACCATTGGCCACATCTACCTTCTTTTATATGCTGAGAGCCTAATCTTTTTCATGACTTAACATTCTGAGACACACCTCCACCACACTGATATGCAGTAACTTTCCTGGCACTCTATTGCTACCAAACCTACCTCCCAGACCATCCCCAACAAATGTTTTAGAACATACATGTTTTAGAGCAAGTCTATCATGAAGTACTTTGGGTACCTGAAGTGCCACCCACAACCCTGAACCCTCAGTCTTTTATTTCATCCCCAACATCACAAGATAAACTCACTTTCACCAAGTTTACTGCACATACATATAGCATTCTCTTTAAAGGTTAGCATTCTGTATTAGCATCAGCCTAACGGATAAAGACACCTTTATTCTCAAAAACACGCCACTCTTCTGATCCTGTAACGAAGTCATATATGCCTTTGAATACCTAACCAAGTACTTGGCAAATATTGCTATGCTATCAACCATCTCTCTGCTCTTTGACATCTTGAGACTAGCTAGGACTGACAACTTCTAGACTTACCAGTCAAGCAGCTCTACTAGATGGCTGTTAACAGCACCCACTTTTTGTAGATCTGCAGTGGGCAGAAGATTGACACTAATCTTACCTTCTGACTTCTTGAGTATGCAGCAGTAGTTTGTGTCCTGGAGTCACTCAAGCACAACACGAAGCTTTGTGTGCCCAGTACATGCTGCACCAGTCAGCACAAGGCCACACTGCCTCCATAGCTCTTGAGAAGTACAAGCAGCCAAGGAACACCATGGTGTGATCCACAGCTGACATCCAACAGCCATGACTTTAACATCCTCATCTTTATTCAAAAGCATGTACAAAGCATGGCACATGAAAAAACGCACCATTCTCAGTAACATTTCTTAACAGAAACAATATTGAAAGCAATGAAGAGAAAGCTGTTTTCTAGTTTATTTCTGCAGATTTTGATATTCAATAGACTGATTTACTATTCCTTGCTCAAAAGGAGCAGCCTTTAGCCAAAGTAGCTGGTCGGTGCTTAATAAGCAAACCATAAGAGATGCTCAGCGAACCAATGCACTCCTGGAGTTCAGTCAGATCCTTAGCATCCACTTCAGTAGCATGATGGATAGTTAGTTTTGACATTTCCAATGCTTTATATGCTGTTCCTGGTAGTGTTTATACTTCATACTACTTTGACAGAAAATGGATTTTACATAGAATTTGTCATTGATGACCAGGTAAACCCCATGAGCTATAGGGTCTATATATTTTTGACAATTTCAAAATGATCCAGTAATAGGTCTATGAATTTTTAATTATGCTATTGTCATTTTTCTGCTATTATAAAGAATTCCTTTCAATGAGGCTTGAAAGTCATGCTTCAAGGCCAAATTCACCTGATGTACACCATGAGTTGTCTTTACATTTACTTGGTGACCAAATTATGAACCTGTAATTCTCTGTGGAAGGGACAGCTTGCTGAAAAGAGCAAATCTGCTGCTACTGTCATTACAGCACCAGCTCTTGTCAAGTGACTTTTCAAAGCCATCTTAGGTTAGAAGATGTAGCTGAGGGTGTGTATTCTATTTGCCATCTGTTAGACCTGGGACAGTTATGTTCTGTTAACTGGGCAGTTTTCTTTATCTCTTCCACAACCAATCCTCCCTCCAGGAAGACATTATCTGTTAATGGGCCTTTGGGTCTCACTGCATGACTGATAAAATGACATCATCCCATTGCAAGATGCTCCACCCAGAGGGAGGAGCCAAGCATTTCTACCTGGATATAATCTGAGATTTGGAACACCGCAGTCAGCCTTCTCCCACTGGATTCCCAGAGGAGCAGCTTTCTTCCCCACTGGATTCCCAGAGGAAGACCATGCCCATCTACACCACCACTGGACCTTCGGAGGAAAACAGTAGCCTTCTACAGGATCACTGCTCCAACAGAACCATACTTGCTACTCCAGGAGCACTGCAGCCACCATTTAATCAGACTGCTGCCAACACCCTGACCAAACAAGGTTGTCAGGCTGTATTCTGACTCGTTCAGTGTTGCAGTGTCGCTATTTCCTGTCTCACCTATCCCATCCCCCTCAAGGATGCCAACCTTTCCCCCTCCCCCTGTGCCCTCCTGCCTGGTACCTTCCAGCAAGGCGTCGTGTGATTGGCAGATGCCCCCCAGGTCTGGGCTCATTGGTTTGTCCTAGTGTCCACATCCCCTGACCCTTCCCCTGCTCACACCTGGTTGGCCCTCACCTGTCCGTCCCCTCGCCCTGTCCCCGGGGCTTAAAAAGGACACGAGACCATGTGGTCGGGGTCTCTGCCGTGGTTCTGTCTCTGCCTGTCTGGCTGGAGCTGATACCACATTCAGGTCTACCATGCTACGATAAACTCTGGATCTAAGCTACACGGCAGAACCCGCTCCTTTTCTCTTCACCGCCTGAACCTTTTCCAAAGGTAAACTGAGTTCCTATTTTGCCTGGACTTGTTCTGAGCGCCCAGCTGCAGCACCTAGCTAGCCAAAGGCATCTCTGGGGTGAAAAACGCCCACATTTGGCGCCACTATATTAAATATTAAGCCCCGAATGTTTCGGGGTGTGTCCTGCCTGGCTTCATCTGGACCAAAGGCGGCAGCCGTGGCGTTTTTCACCCCAGAGATGCCTTTGGCTAGCTAGGTGCTGCAGCTGTTCAGCATTGGTCTGTATTACTGCATCTACATTTTTAATTTTTCCTAATAAAGAACTCTTATTCCTACTCCCATATCTTTGCCTGAAAGCCCCTTAATTTCCATTTCAAGGGAGACTCCTGCCCTCCTTAGCAGACACCTGTCTTTTCAAACCAAGACAAAAGCCCAAGTTCCAATGTATGTATCTCTCTTCTCCCACTACCAACCTCCTTCCCCCAGAGAGCAAGCGGTACTGTTGCCAGTATATTCCTCAAAAGGCAGTTCCACTGTTGTGGTTGTAGTCTTCTCCTGCTGAAAGGGCAGTCCATAAAACCTCAACTCCTCACTCCCTCACTAGATACAGTGATGCAAGCTGTAGACATTGCCTTTTTCTTTGCTTTCACCCTGTCTTTACAGGGCATGCCTGTGAGCTCCACTCCCAAGTTATCACAGATCTCTAATATCTGCAAGACTGTGTACCCATTTGATATTTTAAAAAGGGTAAAAAAATCAAGGGGTTTTCCATGAACTCCTTTCCCTAATATTACTGCTACACTTCCTACAGAAGACAGCTCAGTATTTTGGAAAGACGGTGTTTTAAATATGCAGAGACAGTATCTACTGAACAAAATGGCAACTGTTTTAGCAGGATTTTAAAAGCATGGCATCTCATTCCAAGCCACAATATCTCTTCAGGTGTTACACTTCCTTCTGGTTACATGATCCATATTTGTCAGGCAGTTCTAACAAAGTGCTCCAATTCATCACTGAAAAAGGAGAACAAGATTTAAGTAAAATGGTTCATCCAAGGTAGAAATTTTAATTTGCAAGTAAGCACACAACAGTTTGTATTAAGATGTTGTTAATTCTGAAGAAACAAAAACAAACCAACAAAAAACCTAAACCCACAAAGACTAATACTTCTCAGAAAGTTTAAATAAAGTATTTTGGTCTCGTCTCAGAATCCGGATCCGTATAAAGTTTTTCAACAGGAATTCAGGTTCGGGATAGGATCATCACAGATGAGACAAAATCAGTACATAAACAAAAAATTTAGTAGGAAATATTCCATAAGGTTTCTGATTGTTTAGCTTTTGTATTACAATCTCTAACATTTTGTTGTATTTCAGTAATAATGTACGTTTGTTTAAAACTTTTCATGTAGGTTTGAAAGGTAACCAAGGGTCAGCACAGCTATCAGCTCACACTGTGCTTGGCAAACAAGTGTTTTGTAAATGCCAACTACAACTTACTATATCAATTGATCAATTATGTTTGTAACTATCACTATGCAAAAATATCTGAACTGTAAACACAGTTACTTAGACTTAGAACCAGAAAGATTCTCTTTTTAGAAGATTTTCAGTTACATACCTGAATAAGCCAAAAGCACTTGTTCCTACTTGTTTTCTATAAAACAGGCTTTTCCTGTAAAAAAGACATTTAATAATTCAGAGAAGTTTTCTTTCATCACTCAAAATACAACTTGCCATCTATTTAGCCTCTTGCACAGCCCAAACTGCATTATTAAACATGTGCTGCATTAGTATCAGCACACTGCAAGTTCTCTGAACCTTCAATCAGAAGTGTAGTCATGTCACGGTAAGATTTGTTTTGCTTCTCTTGCCCAGCTATTGCTCAACCTCGGTATGAACTATGATAGGAAGGGGGAATTACACTCGATTATCAGGATATCTGATACTGGTAATTTGCCTATCAGGATCAAAAATAATATTTACTGGAATTCCTATCTTCTATTCAGATGCAGCATTCAAGCATCTCTGCAGACATAAAATGCACTGCTTAGTTAACACTACTAACAAGGTTTGCTACTTCCAACTTTTCTCTAGGTCAGCCATCGAAGTCATTCCCCTTTTTACTTGCTAAAGTACTTGCTTTCTAACTGTCTAAACAATACAGCATCTTATAAGCAGCACTGCTGCATGAGAAGTTTCACTCATACATTTGAACTTCACATACTATAACAAAACCTGTTGTTCAGAAGTACTGGTGTGCAGTAAAGTGAATTTCACTGAAAAATGTTCAGATACTTAGGTGGAAAGTAAGTTCTTGGAGAAATCACTGCTATTATTCTTAAAGCACAGTAAGCATTTGTGAGCATTCTTTTTGCCTGCTTCAAGTACATTATACCAGCCCTTGTGAAGTAATTTATCACTCGAGCTGAAACAGCTATATTTAGAATTCACTACAATTTACCATCAAATTCCACCTCTGTCATTAACATGACTTCTCCTAAATGCTCACAATCTGAGTGAGCCCAAAATTAACGGTCCCAAGAGGACTGAAGTGCAAACATCACCACTAGCTTTCAAACACCATTAACATTTCCTGACCGCACCTTACTAGTGCTTGTTATTTACCCACTATAAGGCAGAATACTTGAAGTCTAACATTTCCTCCTCTCTGCTCTTTAAAGAGGCAAACTTCTGCAACAGTGCTTACTTGTGTCAACACAGACCCGAAGTGGGTTTATATATTGCACCAACATTCTTATTCACAGCCTGGTGCATGCTGGCACCTCACTTGTACACAGCAACAGCATTAAACCAACACCAACTCGATGATTTGTGATTGAAAAATGGTAAGTGGTTTGACCTCAGTAGCCAAACCCTTATGAAGTTGTTCATCAATGTACCAGGTTTGGCAGTTTTAGCATGATTCACCGTTATCCACAAGTATCAGGGACAGGAACTCTAACACCACTCATACATTCCACAAGAGAATCTTCCGCTCTTTCACTGCAAATGTACTGAAAAGGGAATAAACTATCATAAACAAAAATGTCTGCTGTTTAATCAATAAATCTTACCTCTGTTTTATTTCCTGTTACAAGGAAAGCTTTCTTCAGGATGTGCCACATTGTCAATGCTAGAAACTGCTCACGCCAGTCTAGAAATTTGAGTAAAACCCCAAATTACAATAAGTTCATGTATAATATAAGCCAGTAAGAACAACCCATTTCTACTTTTGTAACAACTGGTTAAAAGCATTTGAGTAAATTTAAATGAATACAGATCCTGGAGTTTTTTCTTTCTTTTAAAGTAGTGAGGATAACTACTATACATTTAAAAAGTGAATAGACATTTTTATCAAAAAAGGGGAGCATTTGTTTATTTACATTAATAAGCACCCCGATGTCCTGCTTTCTTTGACTAAACACTATTTCATACTTATTTCCCAATAAAGTTCAAATTCACAATTAAAAGCTACACTAAGGTAAACTTTAAATTTAGTATGAACACTTCAGGACAGACATTTACCAGCTCCTCCAACATAAATATCTATTCCCAAAGCCCCAGCCCACACAGTTCTAGACTGTGTCAGACGCCCAAAATTACTGATGCCTCAATTTTAAAGCTAATGACATAACTACTAACTTAATCCTATGCATCTTTTTCTAATCCATTTGTTGTTATTTGTCCCCAGTGATCATTTAGAACATACACAGCTTTCAGGAAAATCCACTTGTGTGTACCAAATATTCTTCTACTTGTGATGGTCCTTCCATGATGTGCTAAAATTAAAAATAAGCAAAATTACATTTTAAAGTAGAAAACATCTCTTGCTGTGGTCCAGCATCATCTCTCACATTACTATGTCAGAAACATGATCACCAAGCACTAAAAACTGACATTTTCATGAAACACAATTTAATACTCTTCTGGAACAGGTGAAATACCTGACAAGGTAAAATTCTGTAAGCAAAAGAAGTTCAACTAAGAACTGACCTACAGACTGACTTTCACTTAAAGAGCACCACACCCAGAAATTATCAAATTACTTATTACTTTGATGGCAGTTATGAAAATGCAATGTAGTTTTTTCTTTTTGTCTCGCTTAGTAGCCATACAAAACTGACAACTCTCTGGCACTTCCCATACTTTCAGAGACATAAAATACAGAAACTAAGTTTCGAAACACAAGTATTTATTGACTTGGTCAAAAACAAAAATAAATTTCTAGAGCAACATTAAAAATTCCAGAGCTGTTACCTTAATGTACAATGTACTTGGGACCAATGAAAATCTCCTCTCCATCACACCTAAAAACAAACATGGACAGCCTTACAACTTGAAATCAGCAGACTCGTGTTACCAGGCCAGTAAGTCACACACATTATGAGGCAACAATCATGAACACAATCTCTAGGAGCACCATGTTAAGTACTAAATCACAAGCTTGCAGGAGAAAAGCAGCAAGAAATGCAGTTTTAAGCAACAAAGGAGTTTAAAGTTACACCCACGTGAAATCGTATATGAAAAGCACTGTAGAAATAACTGCACATACCCACTGTTAAACCTCAGTCCAAAGACCTTTTAAGGAAAGGTCTGAATCACTTTGAAGAACTGATTTAAGTTGGTTTAGAGAATTGTTTTAACCATGTAGCAATTATCAAAATCCACCAACTCAAGCAGCTTAAGAAATTTGTGACAATACATTATCACTTGAATGTGCTTATTAAAAATATCTCTCTGGACTATACAGGCCAAGTAAATGCATTGGGCCATAAAGGATAACCTATCACACATTTTGTTCCCTATTACAAAACAATTAAAGCTATAGAAAGCCTGAAGTTAAGTTTCCACTTCTTGCATGCAATAAACTTTATGCTTACTGAGTGTAATAAACTCAATAATCAAGGGTTATTAATGGTTTAAGTTCCAAAAATTTACTGTTCAGTAATCTAAGGTGTGACTCAGACTGCCAGACAAGCTAATTAAACACACAATGAATGCACCTGACAACTTCCAATGTAAATCCACCCACATCCTAATCTTTGCTTGCAGGTTAAGAGCCTGGAATTGTAGATATATTTAGTGGTATTTCCCCTTCTTTTTGAAGTACTATGGGTTCAATGACATTAGCATTTCAGAGAGAGGACAAAAAGGCATCTTAAGCACACAATAGGCTTCTGTCAGCACTCTGGGGTGGTAGTGGCTTACTTTTATAACAAATCTCTTTATTAAGCAATGCCATTGTCTTAAAAATATAAAGAAAATATAATTAGCTAGAACACAATCTCATGATTTACATCAGGTATCACTTAAATGTTGTGGGTCTTTGTCATGGATTTATTTTCTGAAAAATACTTTTTCTAGGATCTTTCTCCTGAGAAGCTGAGAAGCCTCAGAAGAAAAAAAAACCAGTAATTATCTCCTGCTGTGGAATGTGACAGGTGTATTTTTGATTGGTTTTATGTAGTTTTTTAATTAATGGTCAATCACAGTCTAGTTGTCTTGGACTGTCTGGTCAGTCACAGGATTTTATTATCATTCTTTTTCTTTCTTTGTTAGTCTTCTGATGAAATCCTTTCTTCTATTCTTCTTTCTTCTATTCTTCTAGTATACTTTTAGTATATAGTTTTCTTTTAATATATATTATAGAATAAAATATCAGCTTTCTGAAACATGGAGTCAAGATTCTCATCTCTTCTCTTGTCCTGGGCCCCCTGCAAACATCACCACAAGTCTTTTTTCCTTGAGACGCTATGTGAGTTTCGCACATACTTTTTTAAGTCTTCTGCTGTGGAGCAATGCCACGATGCCAGTAGCTGAACCCTCCAAAAAAGATGTACGGGTAACATAAGCATGTGCACCAACCCTCTGCCACATGAACAAGGTGGTTCTGCCTTATCCTGCATTTTACACACGAACCCTGAAGGCTGTCGCAGTGCTAGGGGCAGCCCAGCTGAGAGCACGGCCGGGCGGCACCGCCGCACCGACCCCGGCCGCTACGGGTGGGGATCAAAATGGCGCGGGCCCGGCGGCGCCACGCGGGTCACCGCCGCCTACCGCTCCCAGCCTGCCCCGCGCCTCGGGACGCGGCTTCCGGCAGGGAGCCTCCCGCGGGGCATGCTGAGATATGTAGTCCTCTCTAAGCCCCCTCGCAACTCCGCGGCTCTCAGCAGGGGCGGCCACCCCATAGCTGGATTATGGTCGCCTTTCGCATAGCTCTATTCGAGCCTCCAAGGGCGAGAGCTTCTCACTCACTTCACTTGAGGCTGTCGACTCCAGCCTCAAGCACTACGCGACCGGCACTGCGAGCGATCCTCCCGAACGTCCAAGCAAAAGGAAGAAGCCATTCCCCTCCCCCCGGCAGCGGCAGACACCGCATCCCGCGCTGCCTTACCGTACGCCGCCACTGCCGGCGCTCCGCGGGGAAAGAGGGGGTGTACGCTGCGTTCGCCAGCTTTATATGTACGCTGCAGGGTGGGAACGAGGCTGGCCACGCCCCCTGCCGCGCGGGCCGAGGGGCGGAGATGCCTCGCGGAGCTGGCGCGAGAGCGCGCTCGGCTCGCGGGGCGCGCGGAGGGGCGGGCGCTGACGTGTGTCCGCGCGGGCCGGACGCTGAGGGGCCGGCGCGCGCTTCCGCTTCGCTGGGCACGGCGGGGCCGCCATGGGAGGGTCGAGCGGGGCTGGCTCTCGGGCACGGTGCTGCTTGCTCGGTTTGCCTTTCGAGCTCATGTGTAAAACGCTGAGCGGCTTTATGCGAGTTTCTAAAGGGAGGGCAGGAACCGACCTGCTGCAGCTCCATCTCCCACACTTAAAGAATGTGTTTCCCGAGGAATCACAGCGTCAATAAGGTTGGAAAAGATCTGAGATCATCGAATCCAACCTGTGTCCAAACACCATCACGTCAACCAGACTATGGCACTGAGTGCCGCATCCAGTCTCTCCTTAAACACCTCCAAGGATGGTGATTCCACCACCTCCCTGGGCAGCCCATTCCAATGTCTGATCCTTCTGTGAAGAAATTCCTCCTAATATCCAGCTTAAACCTCCCCTGGCAGAGCTTATGACTGACTGTGTCCTCTTACCCTGCTGCTGATACCCTGGGAGAAGAGACCAACCCCCACTTTGCTACACTTTTCTTTCGGGAGTTGTAGAGAGTGAGAAGGTCACTCACCTCCGAGTCTCCTTTTCTCCTGGCTCAACACCCCCAACTCTCAATCACTCCCCACAGGATTTTGTGCTCCAGACCTTTCACCAGCTTTGTTGCCCTTCTCTGGACTTTTGTCCTTCTTGTAGTGAGGGGCCCAGCACTGGGCACAGCCCTCAAGGTGCGGCCTCACCATTGCAGAGTACAGGGGACAATCCCTGCCTGGCCCTGCTGGCCTCACCATTGCTGATCCAGGCCAGGTGCCATTGGCCTTCTTGGCCACCCGGGCACAGCTGGCTCATGTTCAGCTGCCAGCACCCCCAGGTCCTTTTCCACCAGGCAGCTTCCGAGCTGCCCCCAGAGTGAATACTTGTTTCTTATATCTATTTTCTTTTCCTGTTCCCTGGAGCACCCAACTGGTTAACCTTGCGAAGCTATCGCTCAACTTTCCTTGGACCTTAATTAGGTGTTTCTGAAACATTAACCACAGACACACCCATTTCTACTTTTTGGAAGTAGCTTGTGATACTATATCCCTGTATAACATTACAAGTTGTAAGAGCTGAAAAATCTCCTCCTACCCACAGCTGGCAAAAAAATTGAGCTTTCTGCAGTTTTTCCCTCTACACATATAGTCTAACGATATTGTTCCACAGTGAACCTAATAGTGGAGTTTAGGAAGAACTTCTGTACTGTGAAAGTGGTGGGAAACTGGAAGAGATTACCTAGAGAAGCTGTGGATGCCCCATCCCTGGAAGTGTTCAAGGCTGGGTTGGATGGGGCTGCAAGCAACCCGGTCTAGTGGAAGGCTTGGCGGGGATTTCTTTATTATTTCTGGATTATCTTTAATACTCCTTCCAGCCCAAACCATTTTATGATTCGTCCTGTTCCACCACAGTTTAGCCACTGGAAATTGTATAGCTGCACCTTGTAAAGTGACTTAGTCTCCATCTGAATCTGTCTCCTGTACTGCTGTGGAAAAGTTATTGAAAGAAAGTATTAGTGAAAGTTGTCTGGGCTACAGTGGGGATAATAGGAACACTACAGCATAGATGATGTTTAAACTAATGGGAAACCACATCCTAAATTCTCATCTATGGAGGGTTTCACTAGCTGTTTATAAATAGGTTTTTTTTGTCTGTCTGTTTATTGGAAGGTTTAGTATATTGATCAACTTAATTGAGGAAATAAGGGAAAAACAAGGAAGGATGAAGAAAAACTGAAAAATAAGTTTGGTGTTTTGACAAGTTATTAACAATATGACAAAAACCAGTGTTCCACATATGGACTCTTTTTAGGAGGGTTTAACTGTTGGAAACAGATAAGGGAAATCTAGAATAGTGAGTTGTAAGGTGCGAAAATACTTGGCAATTTTATTCCTAAAATCATTGAGACTTATACTACCAGGAAAACAAAACAGCTGACAAATTTTAAGCAAGTTTTCTTCTGCACTCCATGGCAGCAGATGACACTCTTCTCTCTGCTTTTCTTCTTATACATCCTATTTTACCTGTCTGAAATCTTGGGTGTGAGCTGCAGTTGGCCCCTTTTCTGCTGTACAGGCATGAGGAGAGAGGTCTGCAATGCTGCCTCTTTCTCTGAGTGCCTCCCACCACAGCTGTTTCTGCAGGAGTGAGAGTGAGAAGCTGTAGAGCTGCTAATGCTTCAGGGCGTGCTCAGCAGCCCAACTTGGGCACAGACAAGCAACCAATTTATGCTGTTGTTGTCTTTCCATCTGACCTATGCAAAAGGCCTCAAAACTGGTGTTTGCCACGTTGCACAGAAAATGTTGAGCCACTCTTCCCTAGTGACATCAGAGTTAAAGACAAGCGAAGTAATCACAGCCATTAATCTCTATTCAATTAGCCCTAAAGAAAGAAGGCAGCTCCTTACCATTCCTTTACTAAATGCTAAATAATTCCATATTTCTACCAGTGCCTGTCAAGGGCTTTTACTGCATGTTAGTCTCAAAGACTAACCAAGACTGGAATTTCTTACTGGGGAAAAAACACAATTAAGCCCAGACTACATTACAATAAGTATAAATGAGTACAATTTTAGTTTGCATTTGATAATAAGAAGCCTATAAATGGTGAGTGGAGTGAGGGCTGTCCAGGGCTGCAGGATGCTCTGTTGTGTGAGCTTTGCAGGGGAATCATGGGTGAGCACCCAGTGTGGGGAGCCTCACACTGTGCAGGGCTACTTCACCCTGGCTTTGGAACTTGGCAGAGGAAACTCCTCGTCTCTCTGTTAGATTGGAGCATACAGGTTTACTAGCAGAGCCTGACTGCACTGCTTTGCAAACCTTTTATCCCCAAAGAAGTGTGTCTCATATTTCTCAGCATCACCCAAGGCTGCTAGCACTGGGCAAGCTTGTGGGTCAAGTGAAGCACGGCTTTACTGTAGGTAGGCAACAATTACAAGTCTGAATAAAGGTAACCAAACCAAAGTAAAAATGTACACCACAAACATAGATTATTTTTCAAAGTAGGGTTCCTTCTTTTGCATTTCTTCCCCCTCATTCAGGCTTCCACATCTTTAAGTTGTATCCCAGCTGTCTGGATGAGGGTGCAAGCTGTAGAGCAAGAACTGGTCCTCTATTGCCACTCTCCAGAGAGATCCTAAGGCTGGTCTGAACCATAAGCCTGCTTGCCATAAAGTGTTAGTTTATAGATGAGTTGCTTCTCAATTTAGCTCACCACAAGGCTTCACATTCATGCACAGTGTCAGGACTGGCAGAAGGAAGTGCTGGTTGTGAGATAATGGGGATGTACTGGATTGACTCTTGTGTTGGCCCACACAAATGTATGTCAGCCTGGAAGTCTCGTGGTGTGACTACCTCCATTGCTTTTCAGGTCTAGGCAACTCTCTCAAAGTTCTCTTTTATTGTCTTAAATTATTTCTTTCTTCTTTTTTCTCTTTATGTCTATCTCTCCCCCCCCCCCTTCCTTTCTGTTCCTCTTTTAGATCTGGCTTCCTGGATTTTCTCCAATAACATTGTAGTTTTGATGACTCATGTCTCTTGGTTTAGTTTGGGGTTTATACCAGTGCATCCTTTGGGATGCTGGGTTCCCTTCCCTCTCACCTTCCCAGCAGGAAGTCTATTGTATGTAGCTTTAATTTCTTCCTTTTCAGAACAGATAGTACTCATTGCAAATTCCTGAGCTTACTTTGCCATATTTCACATTATGCATCATAAAATGCTTGAGTTGGGAAACAATTTAACTTATGGATGTGACCATGTTTTTAGTGTTTTGCATATACCAGATTTTTTATTTAAACTTTTCAGGTCTCTCTCTGATTTTTTTAGTCACTTGAGTGTCACAGAAAGACAAGCATTTTTTTTTTCTTTTTAATAATAAATGAGATCATAAAAACATTAGAACAGCTGTACAGGGGCAGATCAAAGGTCTACCAAACCCTCCCCCACCCACTAGTACCCTGCTGCCAAATGCAGCCCAAAGTAAATGCCTAGGGAGGGGAGTAGGGATAGAACAAGCATGTCCTTCCCCAAGTATTTGCCCAGCCTCTGGGAATGTAAAGCTTAAAAACCTCCTAGAGGGTTATTATTTTTGTATGCATGAGAATATAACAATCCTCCATTAATTTCCTACCCATCAATTTGTCCAGTCTTTCACAGAGCCTTTATAAAATTTTAGCATCCCCAATTACAATGTCAAGGAATACCAGAGCTTAATTTGTGTTACAAGAAAATGCATCTCCTTTAATTCACTTTGTATCTGTTTTCTGTTTGCTCTTTGCACAGTTTTAGAAGAAGCAGTGGGTACTCTTTCCCTCCACAGTCATTCTCTCATTGAGCACCCACCCCCCAAT